ACTCGGCCGGCCCTCATTTTATTTTATTTACTTTTTTTTTTTTAAGATTTTTATTGGGGAATTGGGGGAGGGGAACAGCGTTGGGGAATCGGGGAAGGGAAACAGACAAGTAGCTGTCCTTTTGTTCTTCAGTCTAGTTGTGGAGGACGTCGTTTCACTGGCCCATGTTGGTATTATCATTGCGCTCTTCCCAGGTGAGGCAGTTGCTCACTGGCCATTTGTCACGTCCTGCGTGGCAAGGGCAAATGGGACACAGGAGGGGCGACGCAGATTGAATAAAGAAATAGAGACAGATGTAAGATTTAAGAGCGAGACCAAGGGACCCAGTCTCCAGATCAAGACTGAGCCCCGAATCGGGTCAACGCCAGGCTTTTATTAAGATTTTTCAAAGAAGTAAACTGCTGAAGTGTGAATCATTAACCGTGTATACGTAGGTGCCTTAAGGCTTGTTCCCATTACCTAATCCCATTGTACTCCAACAAATACTATGTCTTCATACATCACTACACAGCCACAGGACACTCTATTACATGTCCTCCCAGGGGAGACAACTGATATCATTCCATCAGGTCTCAGTTTTCCGAGACACTCTCTCGACTACAGGGTATGAGACTAATACAAAAAAAGTGGTCGTGGGATTGACTGTAAAACAACAGCCATTGGGCGGCCTCTCACGGCAGCTCACGGAAGCTCACGGAAGCTCACGCCTGCTGCTGGCCACTCACGGTAGCTCCCAGCAGCCCACTGCAGCCCCATTGCAGCCTATGAAGTGCTGGAGACTCAGGGCAGCCCAGCTCCAGGTTGAGCTGTTATTCACCATCTTAGCTGTAGAGGGCGCAGCATCACTGGCCCTCATATGGGATCCGAACCCGGGCCCTGCTGCTCAGGGCTGGCGTCCCAAGCCAACTCCTAACAAATGCACCACTCAGCTGGCCCTCATTTCATTTTATTTTTAAATGTATGATCTTCACAGCTGAGTCTATAACTGGTTGAACCCCAAATAAGGGCAATTGACCCAAGTGAACTCCCCTCTTAAATTTCCCAGAATAACCTTAATTTCAAACATTTTACCCTATATATCATAAATATAAATATGCTCTTGTCAGACTATGTGTTTCAATCACCTTAGGTTTAATATAATAATGTCATTTTGGTATGCCTCAGGCTTTATTCCTCAGTGATGATTTGGATGCTTACAGAATTTACAAAGTAACATCTGGTCCACAGGTATCTTTTCTTTGGCCAACATAGTGCTTTTTTTAATAGTTATTTGTTTTAAAACACTTATTTAAAAATATAGAAATATTTACATAAAAATTCAAATTTCTGATATCTGCTAAAACACGTAGATGATCTGGCAACACTGGTTCCATAGTCTTTATGTCAGTTGCCATTTACCATTATGCTTGTGTAGTTGTTTTCTTACTGGGGAGAAAAAAGTTTTTTAAAAAATTGTCCTCTATTATCCAACCCACTACATTTACAGTTTTCCTGCCTGACCCCAGTTGTCATTTGAGTTTGTCTAGGACGTTCAAGAAGGTATAGCAACTACACTGGTTGGTTGACAAAATCAGACTTCCTGGGCTTGAATACAGGCTGCCAAAACTAAGCCTCCCTGTACCTCAGTTTCCTCGTCTGTAAAATGAGG